GGGGGGGGAGCAGCAGTTTGAAGTGGCGGTAGTTTGTCAGTCATAGATGATGATAAAGTTTGTTGGTTGTTGAACGACTTGGAAGTGTTGTATTAGCAGTCGTTCCCATGCCGTTTCTGTTTGAAGCCAGGGATGCCATGTGAGTGTGTTGTCGTTGTTGAGACTGCAGAGTCTCTGGTTTGGGTCAATCCATGTCTCTTCGAAGGTAGTCCGAAGTCTCTGTCTCTTGGCAGTGTCCGGTTCGTCCGCCATCTGGTTGAGCAGAACTTTGTGCGCCGCATGGGTGTAGGCAGTAATTGTGTCAGTTATTGTAGATCGAGCTTGTATGTATCCGTAATTGTGTTGTTTCCTCTCGTACGAGCAGCGCATTCTCCAGGTTGTCATAAGTACGACCAATCTAGAGTAGGCAAATAGGTTAGACATGAACGGGGTCCACTCCCCCGCCTCTGCTAGGACGGTTCCCAGCAGGAGAGTAGCCACTTCCCATGGGAGGTGGTGGCCTGTAAAATAGTGCCACGCTGCATCCCACCATCTCCATACTTGAAGCACCATAGGGCAGTCCAGTAGGCAGTGCTCTTAAGTGGCTCTTCTGTTGGGCAGCGTGTGGGAGCAGTACGAGCACAATGGGGACAACAGTCCTTTCTCCTCCAAGTCCGTGCGTGATGTAACCCAGTCCGGGGTAGGGAGACATCTGTGAACAATTTGCCACCGAAGGGCTCTGTGGCAGCGTGGCTGGTCGGTCGGATGTGGGAAAAAACGGACAACCTGAAGAGGCCAAAGTCCTGAGCTTTCAGGGGAGAGTCTCGCTCCCATCATTTGATTATTTGGTCGAGGGGTCTGAGTGGTTTACGCACTGCTCTATAGCCCTTCCTCACTGTGTATTAGTGCAGAGCTATCGACTGGGACCCCCCCCATTTCCATTCCCACTCTAATGGGTCGAATGGGAGGCAATGCAGTGGGGTGGAAGACTCATATTGGAAAAAGCCCTCTTTTTGACACCCCACCACTCTGATTGTAGTGAGACAGGACGCGGGAAGCTGTGTGTCTAATTCCTCTTGGCGCTGCAGTGGTGACCATCTGGCCCCTGGCATGGTCGGGCAGTAGGCCTGCAATGAAGCCTGGTGGTCTCTGGTATTTTGCACATTGTACAGTACCATAGGGGGGAGCAGGGAGTCTGTCTTCACCACCCAGTCACCGTGAGCGAGGCCGCCGAGGCAGGGGCCCGCTTTAAGAGTTCTGATCCATGCCAAAGGGATCGCTTCTTGGATTTGTTGTAAGTCACGGGCCATGTTTGAGATGTGTCCTGACCCAGTCATGAGTTGATCCACCAACGCCCATGATCTAGAGGGGGTATTCCATAAGTCCCCCACCTTATAAATACCCTTCGCTACCCATCGTTTCCAGTTGGAGTTCCCTTTGAGGGAGAGGGGCAAGCCGTTGTGGTCCACGATTTGTGGATGGCCGAAAAGTGGTTGGCACCATATGTCCTCCCATTTCAGTGGCACCGGCCTTTGGGCCGGACCCCTTTCCCTCCAGAGGGTAAGCATGGCTGTCCATAGCGGATCCACTTGCAGATCTTGTCTTGCAAGACTAGCGGGGGTGTTATCTGTGTCGGATCGGGGGCCGCGAGGGATGGACCACCATTTATTTGTTAGCCATTGGAAGGGGTGTACCGGGCGGAGAGGGTGGGATGGGGGGTATAGGCAAGCTAGCTGGATTTGTGCGTATGCGGCCCAGGGGATGTCGTTTATAAGTAGGAGTCGCACGAGGAACTTGAAGATAAGAGCGTTAATTTCTTTCTCTGGATCAATGACCCCTAGACCGCCTTGTGATCTGGGTTGCACTATAGTCTCCCATGCCACTCTTTTAATTGCCCAGGTGTTGTTGTGATCGTTTTTCCACAGGTAGGCTGCTGCGGCTTGTTTAAGTCTTTAGATGTGTGCCAGTTGGTCGGGAGGCGGACCCATAGCAGTTAGGTTAACCCCTAAGACCCTGATTGCAGTCTCCTTATGTCTCCATGCAACGTGCGGGGTCTGGGGGGGCTGTCCGCCCGTGGGATCGAGCCACCAGCCTTCAGTTTTGGAGTCCCAGTTGACTTTCATATCCGAGGCAATCTCAACAAGGTGGATGGTGTAGGCCAATACCTGAAAGCTCTCGCAGTCGGCCTTAAAGAACACTGTAAGGTCATCTGCGAAGAGAGATGTAACCCTGATGAGACGGTCCAGAATTTTTGGAACCTGGATACGCTGGATCAGGGAGTTTGTTTTAATCATTGCTGCCAACGCCTCCATGACCAGGACAAAGAGCATTGGTGCGATAGAGTCCCCTTGCCTGACCGATCGTTGGAGTTGGAATGGTGGGGCTAGATGGCCATTAAGTGTGATATTGGTGGTTGCAGTACGGTGGAGGATGCCAACCCTGGTACAAAATCTGGGGCCAAAGTTGATTTTGTTAAGGCACACGTCCAAGAAGTCCCAGTCAACATGGTCATAAGCCTTCTCGAAGTCAATGACCAATATGGCCGCCTTGGCGTTCCTCTGTCGTGCATACATGATTGTCTCATTCACCAGTAGAATGTTATCTTGGATGTTCGCATTCCGTCAGGGTTGCGTTTTCCCCCCCTGAGACATTCAACGTTCAACGTCAAATTTCAATGTCGGTGGTCGTCGGGAGGGTGGGCATTGAGGTTTTGGGGCCTTGCAAGGGCCAGGAACGCGTAGGACCGGTACCTGCCCGTAGGAGGCCGAGAGGAGGCCGCCGTCCTTAAGCCTTTTTCGAAATTAAAAAGGCGCGGGTCCACTTTCATCGAATAGCATAGCACCTCGAATAGACAACGTACACTTTGCATTCGAACACAACATGTACCATTTCTATTCGGATTTCTAAACGAAAAAAGTCTTGTATTCCAATAAAATTACTTTTTTTTTTTTTTTGGAGGTCAGCACCTGCCCTTTTTTTTTTTTTTT